TAATTTTCATTATATATATATATATATATATATATATATATATATATATATATATATATATATATATATATATATATATATATATATATATATATATATATATATATATATATGTATATATATATATATATATATGTATATATATATATTCTTATAGTGTAGCCGAAAGAGACTTTTATCGTAAAAAAAGTCTCTTTCGATACAATTTTTTTACCTTGTGTCTTAAGCTGCATTTTATTGTCGTCGAAATGTCAAAGCAATTAAATTAATGCGAATTAACGGAAAATTGTTTAGGAAATACGTTGATGATTATGTTGAGGAATATGTTGATGATATTCATATATCTAATCTTAATTATGAAGTAAGTTACCAATAACAGCAGAGAAAAGTGTATCAGCCACTGAGGTAGATACATATAAGTTACATACTATAAGTTAAGAGACAATAAAAAAAAAAATCAAGATAATATTTTCCATGATCATGATTATTCAATGAACGAGTTAGTTGTGATTCAAGACTTAAATAATGTAATATTTAGTTTAATAGTCACAGGTGTTTATTTGTGTAGAATTATAAAGAAATGATGTCTTATTTTTTATTTCATAACCTTAAAAATTGATCAGTAAGTATATTTTGTGATTTGTAATATTTTATCGAAAAACTTGTTTGTTTATTCTCGATATAGTTTGATTAGATTTTTTCAAATTAATTTGATCTAATACAACGAAATTTAAACTTTTTAGATTTAACTGATTAAAATTGACATTTAACTTAATAGTGTTCAAAATTACCCTAAATGCAAGTGTAACTTTGAATCCCTACTTGAACCTTTTTTTTTAACAAAATAACTAGCAAATTTAAACTAATGATAACAAACTATAAAAAAAAAATCATCAGAACACTTTTTATGTAAAAATATTTGTCATCTAGTTTGTAAAAAAAATTGTGTTGAGATAAACCTAGCGCAAAGCGTTCAAAGTTACCCGGAATGACTATATGATAGGAGAATCTTTTTATTAACCAATCAATTTTGTAGAAAGTTTAGAACAATTGCATCAGTTGCTTCAAATCGTTCAAAACTTACAAAATTCTGATATGCCGCTTGATACACGTACTTAATTCAAACGTTCATAATTTTTGTCGTAGGACTTTGCTAGTAAATTAAAGTTTAAAAGCAAAGATGAGTTTTTTAGTTTCAAATGCAATTAAGGCTAGGTATTTGCAAAATATTCGCAAATGTAAAAATCAGTTAACTAAAGAGTTGAAAATTTTAAATAAGTAGTGTCCAGTGTAGCCATAGAGTTAGTCTTGAATATTCTGAAAGGGATTGTTTTATCCGGAAGACATACAATAGTAAAGATTATGGTGCTTTAAGGTAAAACTCTATTACTAAAGTTAATGGTGTTATATATTTCCAGCTAGAAAATAAAATAAACTGATCTTGTTTGCATACTTTTTTTATTTATTTTTACTTATCCTTTACACTTTATTAGTCCTAAAAATAAAACAAATAAAAAGCAACTCTCTGATGATTCTTTTACAGAAAAGTTAATTCTGCAAAACATGTCAAAATCCAATCTAAAATTAACTTTAAAAAAGGCAATGCTTTTATAAATTTTTTTTTTGAAATTTCTGTAGATTTTAAAATATTTGAGTGATTAGATTCCAACTGTAAACTTGTAACCGCTGGCAAAGACGATGCAATTTTGATAGATATGGTAAACAAAGTATTTCGTCCAAATTCTATATTTATTTTTCCAATATCTATTTAATAGATATTTAATAGACTATTAATACAAAAAAATCATTTAAAAGTAAATGACTAGGCCACTATTTTTGGTTAGCTTATTCTAACAAAGAAAATTGAGTTTACTGTTTTCCTTTTACTTTGCTATGTGCTAGTATTTCAAATAAGCCTGGAATACTAAATTTAGTTTTCAAGCCTCATTAAGAATGAGGTAATGCTGTTCATGAATAAAAACATGACAAAAGTTGTGTTTTACAATGCATTACGCTTTTGTTGCAACCCCAAAAGTAATGTTATTGAGGTTGATTTAAACAGTTCTTGTTTAAACACATTTTTCTGATCTCTGAAAACATTTTGTTCCTTTTATTAAAACAATAATATTTCTTGGTTGGAAGAGGTACCCAGTAAGCACAGATCGTTTTTAAAACGTTTAAAAAACGTTAAAAACCGTTTTTATAGGTTTTTTAAACGTTTTAAAAACGTTCTGTGCTTACTGGGTAACTTCATACAGCTTTTAAAAATTCGAGTTGATGCTGATGATCAAATATTAGCTAATCTTTTTTTTTTCTAGTCCAAAAAATGCAACCTTTATGTCAAAAACTACCCAAAACCAACTTATTGATTTTTGTGGGAAAACAATTGAGGTAGCGCTAATAAAAAATGTTAAGCATTCAAATTTTAAGTTCTTTTGTTTTTTTTTAATTTTTTGTGATGAAGCAGTTAACTGTTCAAATGTCAATTTTTTTTAATATATGTAAATTCAAATAATGTGATTGGCGTGGATTTCTTAACATTTATTGGTTGTAAGACTGGTACATCTGATCTTAGTCTACCTCTAACTTTACTTTCTATCTCTAAATTTACTAAAGTTAATTACTAAAATTACTTAATACATTTCAATAGAATTTTTGGACTTGATATTCGAAACTGTAGAGGCCAAGGGAATGATGAACAGGATTTATGGGAGGTGAATTTAAAGGAGTTGCTTTTTGAATTAAAGCTCTTAATCATAATGCTGTTTTTGTTCATTGTACAAGCCATAAACTATGTTTAGTTGTATATTACTTAGCTATTACTTTTAGTTTGGCTTTTGGTTTTAGTCTTGATATCCAAGAAGTGGGACCTAGATTGTGTACTTTTCAGGTTTACCAGTATAATTATCCAACAAATACAGTTTGTGACTATTTTAAACATAGCATTATTTCTTCATTAATTGAACATCTTGTTAATGAGCTAGATAACAGGTTTCCAGAAAATGGTATGTTTGATTATAAAGGTTTAGCAGCAATTTCTTCAACAATTGTCCAGTATACAAGTTAAGAAACCATGGAAATCTGATTTTTGTGAATTTTTAAATTTCTATTTATCTGAATATGCCTCATTTTACTTCAATAAATGCTGAGTTAGATTTATGGGAATTAATTTTCAAAAACCAATCAAATGTTCCTTTAGAGAGAGGGGAGCCAATCAAATATTTCTTTAACTGTTGCTTGTATTTTAAAGACCGTTGACATAAGAAGTTTTCCAAATATAAAAAAAGCGTTTATTTATATATTAGAAACAATTCCAATAACAACTTGTGAATGTGAAAGAAGTATTTCAGTTGGAGGGTTAACCTTAAATAAGATCACTAATACTTTACTTAAACTGCCATGAAGAAAAGGATAGAATCTAGAAATGGAGGGCTAACTTTATAATTATTATATTAATTAATTAATTTAATATTATTTTACATTACCAAATAACCTAATAGTACTTTATATTACGTGCTTATCAAGAAAAGGTAAGAATCCAGAAATGGAGGGCTAACCTTAGGCAATATTACTTTGCATTACGTGCCTCTCAAGAAAAGGAAAGAACCCAGAAATAGAGAGCTAACCTTTGCAGAATGATAGACACAGATGAAGTGCAAAGTCCTATGGCTTACCTTTTCGTTGGTGCACTTTGTTAAGTAAATTAGACTTAAAACTACATGTCTAATTTATGAACTAAATAGCCAAGGCAATATTTGTGAAAATTTCTATAAAAAATAAATACTACAAAAACAATACAAAACAAGTTTAGCTATTATTTAATGACATAAAGAGCGGCGTCACTCGTAAAAAAAAACCGTCCGTGACATGTCTTCCTCACTCTTGCTGCAAGCATTTTTCTGTCCCTCTACTTTTGAAATTGACTATACTTAAACCCTAGGGATGTTAGGGGGGGGGGTATTATAAAAAAAAGCTCACATCACCTTTTTGAATTGCTACATCCGCTCCTGTAAGGAGTGACTTAAGCATTGCTGTTTTATTAAATTTTGGTTTTTAAGATATTGCATTTCTTAAAAACTAAAATTTGCCTTTTTAAACTCCAACTTTTTGTGTGTTTCGCTTATTTTCAACTTTTACTATTATATATTTTTAAAAAGTAAAATTTAATCTTTTTTTATATAATTTATTATTTTTTCATAAATCTTTTTTCAATCAAAGTTTAAAACAAAATAAAACAACCACTAAAATTCATGAAACGCGAGCATGGGGCAGCGTCATGAAAACAGGTGAAACAAATGTGTTAATTTTTTACATTCCAAAAGTATCTCTTTTATAATAAAAAAAAAGCTACCATGTTTACAGCATCATATTATTCAATAAATGGCTAAAAACCTCAATGGCTAAAAACCTCATATTTTATATTTTCGTAAACAGTAAAAACGTTAAAGTTTTTCACATTAGTTTTCTCTCATAGCAATTTACTTTTATAATGTCTTTATAGTCGTTTGAAAAAGTTACCTTATGAAAAGGCTTCAGCTTTTATATAACTGCTGCCCCAAGTTAATTAGTTAAAATCTTAAACTCGTAGATTTTATATTACCGATTATTTGTAAACAAAATAAAACAACGAGCATCGTGATTTCTTTTTTTAAATAAACCAATCAAAATGCACACAAAATAAAACGGCGTTTTTTGAAAACAAAAGAGCCTAAACGCCATTGCACACACACAGTTGCATTTTTTTTTTGTTTTTTTTGTTTTTATTTTTGTTATTGCCAGGTTAAGGTATAAAAAGCAATTATGTTATTACCGATATTCTTGAGAATAAACAATCAATATTAGAGATCAATACTCATGATCCACTCTGATTTTTCGGCACTCAAAATATTTTGTGTAAACGCAGAGGTTATTACTGGGGTTACGCATATTACTGGGATAGTGTGAGCATTTTCAATTAGTTGACGAAAAAATTTCAGACACTTATAGAATAACAACCCTAATAAACAAAAAAACTGATTCTAATAATAACTGATCCAACGTAACACACAATACATTTTAGTCTGAAAATTAATATGATGCAAATAAAACCAAAATAATAAACATATCAGCATATATTTAAATATAATTCTGTTTGGATCTGATTAGTTCTTTGGACCTAAACACTAAACACTCAAAAATTCAAAAACATCGTAAAGTAAAAATAAGTGTTCATAAATGAACATTATACCCTAATAAATAAAAAAAAACAGATTCTTATAACCACTGATTCAACATAACACGCATCTTAGTCATAAAAAAAACTATAATACAAATAAAACCAAAATAATACACAGATTAGCATATGTCATAAAATTCTGTTTGGGTCGCTTGGTCTGATTTAATCGTTTGAGTGAAACACAAAACACTCAAAAAATAAAAACCTTGATAAAGCAAAACAATAAAAATGTTGCATAAATGCGCGGTATAGCCGTAAAATGTATCTCCATAGTACACTTCTTCGTTTATATCGTATATTACATCGATACGTTTTGCTCCAACCAAGTACTTCGCTAATGACAATGCAACTAAATTAAAAAAAACTAATATCAGATGAAAATTTATTTTTTGTATTCTTAATAAAGTTGTTGTACTTGCGTCTATTGAATTAGTGACATTGAGTGCATTCTCATCAATTAAAGTACAACATTAATGCGATATTAATGCTACATAAACCAACATATATTAAGTGTACAAAAATTGACAATAGTTTGCGACCAAATCACTTTAGTTTTGTTGTAAACAATAAATTAGGCAAATAAATTAAGTAAAAAATGAAATTATAATTCGAAAAACCTCTTTCTATGTTCTACTTTTGATTTTTAACAGGGCTGCCGAGAGCATTCATGACGCCTGGGGTATAGCAGCAATTAGGCGCCCCTCTATAATAATACAATTTAACGACTGTTTTTCTAATACAGTTAGTTAACATTTATATTTTTAAGAAAACCATCTGGATTAATTTTTGCAACTCATTCGATTAGGATTAATAAACAGACTCAATAAAATTAATATTGGAAAAACTCTTTTATTCTTTTTTACAAGTTAAGTTGAATTCGAATGCATATAGATTGAACAACAAGCTAAAGACCCTAACAACAAGCTAAAGACCCTAACAACAAGCTAAAGAGTATAGTTGGTTGAGTAACCCTAAAGTGTTTCCACAAGTAAAAAATGAAGACATCTTCAAACTAACAAGATGTGAAATATCTTCCATAAATTTGTTTTTTACTTCACAAGGTTTAACTTTTACCGGTTCTTGATCTTTCAACCAGAATAATGAGAATCTTAAAGAACAGTTTTTAAAGTCTAAATTTTAAATGATAAGCAGTTTTGTATTGTAGTATAAAGTCGTTGCGTTCTTTGAGAATATGTACGCCTTGTATTTTTAGTTTCTGATTATAACTAAAATGTTTAATAAACAATGTTACGCGTTATTAGGCGCGTTTGAGTAGAGAAATTTATAATTTCAAAACTCTAGATGCGGACTAATTTACAGCTCGTATAGTTTTTTTCAAAGCTAGAGAGCTCTGACACCAAAATGACTTCTTGAGACAATCAAGCATTCAACTTTATGTACCATTAATTTTTATAAAAGTAAAAACTGATGTAATAACAAATAACGTAATCGTTAATAGTTTATGCTTTATTTTGGGATTATAATTTATAATCGTTGCAAGTGTTTTAAGCTCGTTAATATTTTATTTGACAAATTCAAAAAGTTTAACAGTTTTATGGATATACTTTTCCATGGTGATGTTTAATTGTGACTGAGTCATTACAAACTGGAAAATGATAATTCCGCTGTTGCTTTTTATTCATTTTATTTATTTACACTTTTGCCGATAAAAAAAAAATTTACAGTCGTAACTTATAAAAAAAAATAATTACATGACCGGGGCTAGAAGAAGACAAATTTAGTCTTATCATTAAGCCCCAAAAAATGCGTCATCACTAGACAAAATATAGTTTGACAATAAAATATAGTTTCAATGTATATATCTCTGATTTAAATTATAAAAGAAAATTTAAATATATCGCATATCGTTTAAAATTTATAGTTTTTCAAAGAATAAGATTTAACAATTGTTTTGTAAAATAAAAGAAACAAAATTTAATAAAATATTAAAATGACAAAAATAACATTTAAGACTTGGTTTGAAAAAATAAGAAGATATGATTTTATATAAAAACACTTTATTGGTAGAGCATTTTATAGTTTAACTTATTTAATTATATTTATAATACTTTTCATTGCCAATTAAGTAAAAGCAAATAAACAGTATAAAATAAAAGTAAAAGATTAATAAATAACGCAAAAATAAAAAATAAATTTCTCAAAAAGAAGATTATCATTTAAAATAATAAAAAAATATGTACAATTGTTGATTAATTATGTAATAATAATCTAAAGTAATTAATTAATTAACTATTAATTATTGATTTCTAATATAAAGAAGTTTTATTAGAAAAAATTTAATTCATTTTCAGTTAACAAAAGTAATTGCTTAAGTTTTATTTTGTATTGGTTTAGAGAATAATTAGTTTTCATTTCATTATTTAATATTATGTTCCACAACTTTGGTCCTCGGTATACAATAGAGAATTTAGTAGCGGAATAATAAGTTTTGGATTGAATGTAGTTGTATTTTGAAAATCTTGTAGGGCATATGTGATTTATTTTTTCAAAAATTGAATAAAATTGAATAAAAAGATTGGTGATATATTTTTCTCAAGTTTGAACATGAAAATAAGAACTTGATAGAGGTTTAGTTTATATACATTTAGGATATTGAGTTCATTAAAAAGTGTTTGTGTGTGTGAAAAACGATCTACGTTTGAAATTATCCTTATAGCCTGTTTTTGTTTGCTAAGCAATTTTCTTATTTTTGTCGCGTTAGTGCTACACCAAGCAATGTTCGTATAACTTAAGTAGCAATGAATAAAAGAAAAGTAAATGTTTTTTAAACAAGATCGATGTAATAACTGCTTTGCTTTGTACATTATTCCTAAATTTTTTGATATTTTATCTTCAACTACACCCATGTGTTCCCTCCAGGTTACATTTTCGTCTAGAAACACGCCTAAAAACTTTATTGATTGCTCTCTCTTTATTAATTGATTGTCAATAAAAAGGTCTGGGAGTTCTAAGGGAATATCTGATTTTTTATGTAGGCGATGGAATAAAGTGTATTTTGTTTTAGTAATATTTAAAGATAATTTGTTTGATTTAAACCATTGGGTTAGTTTGCCTAGTTCTTTGTTTAATGTTTGGAATAATATATTGATATCTTTATTGGAATAAAACAAGCTGGTATCATCTGCAAATAAAATTGTATTTAAAATGTTAGAAAATTTATTTAAATCGTTTATATAAACAAGAAATAGAAGTGGCCCTAAAATTGATCCTTGAGGAACACCACATTTAATTGTCTCATAATTAGTTTTTCCTTCATCATAAACTATATACTGCTTCCTATTGGTCAAATAACTCTCGAACCAGGACAAGTTAGTATTTTTTATACCATAACTTTTGAGTTTTGATAGAAGAATTTGATGATTGACTGTATCGAAAGCTTTACTTAAATCGATAAAAAGACCTAGGGTATACTTGCCTTCATCAAACGATTTAAATATGTCCTGAACAAGGTGAATGATTGCATGATCGGTGGAATGGCCAGATTTGAATCCAAATTGTTTATGGTAAAGAATATTATTTACATTTAAAAAAGAATAAAGCCTATTATACATAACTCGCTCTAATATTTTAGAAAAACAGTTAAAAATTGAGATTGGACGATAATTTGCAACTTCAGAAGGATCGCCTGACTTAAAAATTGGAATGATTTTTGCAATTTTTAGGTTTTCTGGAAAAACACCATGTTTTAAAGATAAATTAAAAATATGTAATAACGGAATTGTTATGTATTTTATCGATTTAATAACGACATTACTACTTATAGAATCGAAACCTACACTTTTTTTGGGCTTTAACAAAGAGACTGCGTCTAATAATTCATTTTCCGTAATTTTAGGATTAGACATAACACTAATGTTGTTTGAGGTTACGTAAGACTTAAAGTCTATTTGAGAAGTTGCTATATTTGATGATAAAATAGGACCTATATTTACAAAAAACTGATTAAGTGTTTCGGCCACTAAGGACTTATTTACAATACAATTGTTATTAACTTTAAGATTTTTCGGAAGTAAATTACCGTGTAAACGTTTTTTACCGATTACCTCCTTAATAATTTGCCATGTTTTTTTCGAATCATTTTTGTGTTTAAATAATTGTTCCGAATAGTAATGTTTCTTTGAGCGTTTTAAAACTGATTCATATAGCCGTTTATAGGTTTTGTAATTAGTTTCATTTTTGAGAGTTTTTTTTTAAAAAAAACTCTCAAAAATAAACGTTGTTTTTTTTTTGAGGATTTAAAAATGCCCCTCGTGATCCAAGGGTTTAAAAGTGTTTTTGTTTTGATAACTTTAGTAACTTCCGGGAATGCTTTATTATAAAAATTAAGAAATTCAGTTAAAAAGATATCATATGCTTTATCGGCATTTAGATTTAGTTGTAGGGTGTCCCAGTTAACACCAGTAAGAAGTTTATGAAAATTTTTGATGGAAGCGTCGTTGTAATTAATTTTTTTCTATCACTAAAAGCATAATAGTCGATGCATTTTTGCGATAGAATAAAAATAGGGAAGTGATCAGAAATGTCAGATTTAAATATACCTGTCCTTATTTTAATATTTACGAAATCATTTGTAATAATTTGATCTAAAGATGTTGCACTTTCTCTAGTTACTCGCGTTGGTTTATTGACTAGTGGAATATAACTATTTTGAAAAATTGTGTTAAAAAAGTTCTTAATGTTTTTATTTTTGTCGTATTCTAATATATTAAGATAAATGTCACCAACAATATAAACCGATTTATTTATAGATGATTTTTTTTTAATTATACTTTTAATGTGATTTTCAAATGCCTTAATACTTCCTGAGGGCGGTCTATATAAAGCATGGATGACGATATTTTTTGAAGTTTTATTAATAATTTCAACACATAAAGATTCATAATCATTAGTGGTTGAACTTAACTGTGGTTTCCTTTTGAATAAAATTGAAGTTTTTATGTATATACACAAACCTCCACCTTCCTTATTTGATGCTCTAACTTGATGAATTACTTTATAATTAGGTAATTGAAAATTGGAGTTGTTTTCAATGCTTACATCGTGACACCATGTCTCGCTGAGACAAATTACCTGAAATCTAATGTCAATTTTATGTAAAAATTGTTTCAAAGACTCAAATTTTTTTTGAATACTTCTAATATTAATGTGAAGCATTAAAAACGAATTATCTTCCATTCCTTTATCAATATTTTTTTAATTTGGGTTATAGTATATCGGGCTAGTATTTTTAATTACTTGACTATCGTTAAAAAAATTATAATCGGGATCCGAATAGTTGTTTAAAATTATTGGCTTTTTCTGTGAATTAAAATTTATGTTTGATAAAACAATATTATCAGCCATTTTAAATAAAAAATAAATCAATATAAAAATAAAAATAAAAAAGAAATAAAAAAAAATCATTTAACATGGTTTTTTTTTCTAAATTCTTTAACAATGAGCTTATCATATATAACAACAGAATATTTACCGTTTATCCTATGCGTTTTGCTTTCTTCAAGAAGTTTCTTTCTTATTATAGTAGTTTCTAGCGAAAATCCTCGTTAATATAAATTCCAGAACCTTTTAGTTTGTTGGCGTTTTTTAAAATTTTTACTTTGTCTTTATAATTTAGTAACTTAATTACAATTGTTCTAGGCTTTTTATTATCGATAAAACCAGTTCTGTGCGCTCTTTCTATGATTACATCTTTTACATTGAGGTTATTTTCAAGAAGGTTTATTATTTTTACTTCCGTATCATCCCAGTTTTCGTTATCATTTTCTTTGACTCCTTCGATTCGAAGATTGTTTCTCCTTTGACGATCTTCTAGTTGTCTAAATCTATTTTTTTCATTCTCCCCTATGGTTGCATTCGACCATATTTTTTTTTCCACATCACTGACTTTTTTATCATTTATCAATTTTTTTTCCAAATCGCTGACTTTTTTATCATGGCAATCCTGATAGAACGTTAGACTTTCTTCAATGTCTTTTTGTATTTTTTCATACTTTATCATCTGCTTGTTTGTTTTTTTAAGATCGGTATTTCGGTTTTCGTTTTCCTTTTTTAAAACTTCACAAGAGTTCTTTAATGTATTAATTTCTTTTAGCAATCCATCAATTCGATCGTTAGCCAGTTTTAAATTTGCACTTATTAACGCTAAAATATCTTTTTGTTGTTTTTGGAACATTTCTTGAAATATTTCACGAACTAATTTTATTGAGACTTCAGTGTTAAGTTTTGAACTCATTATTGATAAGATTTGAAAAATAAATAAACAAATAAATAAAAATTGCAATATCAATTTTATTATTTTATTTCTTTCGCAGCAAAAGCACGTCCGTTCACTACAGAACCGCAATGAATTATGTTGCTATCCTAAAAGTTTTTTTAAAACTGTTTAGGAAATGGGAGGAAGCGCCTAATGTAATGCCCCCCTCCC